ATACAGAGCTATTTCTCCGGCTCGCAACTAGCCACCAGCTGTTCATCTTCTAAATGTATTCCTTTCTTCTCTAGTGCACCTCCAAACTCTCCCTGCTTTCTCTCACAGCACTCTTAAGAAAGAGCCAGTTCCAATCATCAGACTGAAGAAGCAAACATCAAGGCAATGAGTTAAGAGACTGCAGCACAAAGAGGTGAAAAATCCCACCACTTTAGTTACTATCTGCAATTCATCATCAAGCTAAGATACATTAACACAGGCAAAGCAGCTCTCAGTCTTTTTCCTTACCCTAAGGATAACAAACTTAAGGGAAGAGTTACATAGCAGAAACAGCAGGTTTTGCTGTCTCACTTGTGCAAATTGTTATTTTCACAATGGAAGAAAACTCTCTTTTAAAGGAATCATTAATATTCTCCAAACCCTGACCACTTAATTCTATTTTTTTTTTATTACTCATTTTCACTGTAACACTAAATGAAACTCTCTAAAATAAACACATCCTAATCATACGAGACATGCTTTGTTTGTTTTAATATACAGATCATTTTCTATGCCTATAAAGAAAAAATTGTAGTACCTGACAGAAGACTGGAATAATTTTGAACAAAAGTGACCCAACAGATTAAGAATTATCAAAAATTCAACTTCCCAAATTGATAATACAAATGAAAACATATGGAATTTACTTATCATCTGAACACAAAAATATTCAGAATACTTGAAAAACTGCTCTATCATATCAGCACAATCAGCATACAAACAGCCACAGCACAAATTTTTCAAGTCTTTTCACAAACTGGTGTGTAAAATTAATCACTCATTGTCCTACTACAAGCAGATTTTCTCAGTTCTTGTCTAAATGATGCGTCAGTAAAAAATACTATTTCCTCTAGACTCTTGCATAGAAAAAAGCATAATACAAGGAAACGTGTTACTACTTCTAAACATATTTTGGCCAATCACAGAGTCATTTTCCTACCAGAGACCCCATACCACAATGCCCAGCACTGTTCTTACTGGACACAGGTGCAGCACAGAGCTATACTGGACAACACTCATCCCTGCACATATGGTGCACTGCATTAACCATGTTCTGTTCACCAGTTAATGGGGAGCAAAGGACAAAGTTGCCTTAGTTCCTCTGGGAAATCTGTTCTTTCCATGGGATTCATTCAGTCTCCACTAACTCCAGCGCTGTTAGAGAGGACAAGTGCTTTCAAAACATGAATTCAACAAAATCCATGTTTACCTTCTGATTTTGAAGAGTGGCAGAACCACATAACTTTTTTTACAATTTCTGAATATTAAGTCCAGCCGTAAATAAACCCCAAAATAACAATAGATGTGCTTGCTTCTATGAATACAAAAGATTAAAAGATGCTGACCAGTCTTTCACAGCTAAAGTACATTTTCACAGACGATAATGAAAGATTCAATTCTACTGGGAAATACACATAGTAAACTCCTTAACTAACTGGAAAAAAGAAAGAGGCAGTGCTTTAGGAAGAGGAAATTAATTATGCAGTTAGTTAGTTACCTTTTCATCTTCTGTTCTAGGATGTGGTTCACTGAATTTTTCTTCCTGAAAGCTTCTAGTCATCTCCATTTTTTCCATACTCTGAAAAAAGGCTGTTTTTTCTAGTCTGTTTCTGTTGTATTGTGTATTTATCTCTTCCAGCCTGCTAATCTTAAGTAGCTTCATACTATGTCCAGTTAATTTACTGTCTGTTCTCCTCTCCACCTTAGATTCATAAACCAATGAACACTCGTAACTTCTGATTTCTCCTCCTTCTTGGCTGTACAAAAGAAAGACAAATAAGAGGCATTAGTGTTATTTATGCAGTTTAGCTTAGAAAATTACTGTGTTGCAACACTTCATATTTCAACTCTCCTTTAGTTTACAGCACTAGCTGATCACAGATACAATTCTACATTCAACATCAGATAATTCAAGCAGGCTACAAGACCAATGTAATTTAATTTGTTCACAGAAACTATGTAGCTCTATCAAATCAATACATATTGCTGTTGCTTGTAGACCTTGCTTATGGACCACTCCCCACTGTTAAGCTACTTCAGTGGTTCCCTGTTTCTCAACATGTTCTCTTTTCTGTTGCAGTTCCTGCAAGTTAACATGCAAAGACCCTGTTCTTAGGTCCATAAGGATTTTAGATACTAAACAAAGTAGTTTAGGCATGAACCCAGCCTTCCCTCTCTTCTCACTCTTCTGTACCACAGAAATAGGTAATTGCCAAGATGGTGGAGATTTTAGGCCCTCTGTTGAAGGCTGCAGAAAAGCACAGTTCTCAGCTGGGTTCCTTCCTACTGTAGGCTCTTGTGATGTACCTGGTACTTACATGACGTAGGATCATTGAGGCTTGTCTAATGCTAAGATTGACTGGAAGCTTATTCCAAGTCAAGCTGTTAGTTTTGATTCTCTTTAGAAGGGCTTTTATTCCACAGCAAGGTGGTGGGTTCCCCCCTCAAGTAATCACTACTTTGAATATATGTTCTACATATATTTGAATATATGTAGAATATATGTTCTACACTTTGAATATATGTTCTTTTGCATAAAGAATTATTTTAAAAGAGCAAGAGAAACTACTCTAAAATTCTTCTTAGCATCTCTGCGTAGACCCATGAAAGAGAAGACAAAAACATTTCCATTTTTATTATTACATCCCTTCCTTCACTGTACTGGAAATCCAGGTACAAAAGCACAGCCCCAGTGCCTTAGCTCTAGAAAGAATCTGTTAAATCTCATTACACAGCTCATAGTTTTCAATTTAACTTGCATAAATACCATAAACTATGTAGTGTAATTAAGTATATATATATACAACCTTACAGTCATTAGAAGCACAGAGAAACAGCTTTCAGTGTACAACCAGAGACCCAATTAAATCAGTTACTTTTACCTGAACACCTTCCAAGAGAAAATATTCCTCAGTGTTTTGACCCCACATTTGTGCACATGCAACAGATTAGATGTGTACCTACATCAACTAACTCCTCTGCCCACAGTTAGCCCTCCAGACTTCCCAGATGAGAAAGATGCCACGTGATATCACATGTGATGCAAGAGATTGTTAGCTAGTGCTGACATTTAGAGATAATAGACAGCAATGGACCATGCAAGCAGCTTTCAAATAAGTCTTCCAGAGATATTTCTGCTACTGTGTTATTGCAGTCCTAGATCATGCTGTTAATATGGGAGGGGCACGAACACCATCATTGGACTGTAAGACATTCATCATCTGAAGAAGTTTGTAAAAATATCCAGTCTGCTGCTTCTAGCCTCTCTCACCAGCTTTCATGGCTCTGACATCCCTTTCCATCCCCTTCAGCTGAAAGAACACTTTATGAGATTTTCTTCCCCCATTTCTCAAGAGCAGGTTCTTGAGTTTTCCTAAAGGCTCTGATGATCACAGGTGACATACCCAAGGGCTCAGTGTAACCTTCGAGCCATTATTCTACAGATTCTTTGATCTACTCCAAGCCAAGGGGTGATGCAATATAATCCAAAGCTGTCAGAAAAAAACAGGAGATGTTTCTAGATGCCCACCTGCTGCCTCAGTGTCTCCAGCTAATCAAATCCTACAGTGTTTTAGAGTGGCCTGGCTGTGAAGACTGCTTCTGGCCTGACATGACTGCAACCAAGGAAAACTGATTCAGGCTCTCCATAGCTCTTCAAAGAGCACATCATCCTGCAGGCTTTGATCACCAAATGGGGTCATCCATCTAATGAGAATGACATGTCCTAATTAAAGGACACATTGTTCCTTCAAGCTGACCAGTGAGTCAGTTATCTGGGAAAATATTTATGGGATGGCAAGCTCAAACATCTTACTGGGCTCTATTGCCAAGCAGAGACTCAAACATGATTTCCCTCTCCCCTATTATTATCTTAAGACATCCCTGAAACAATAAGCTAAACAATTGAAAGTTTCTAGGATGCACACACTGAAATTTGTTTGCAAGTGCCTCCTCCATAGTCCCAGAGAAGAAATCTCACCCTGGTCATGTGCCACTGAACAATGGGAAACTATGACCTTCACATGGTGTGGAGCTCCATTTCCCACGAAGGAAGGTGAAAACCTTTCTCCAATCATTTCCATTCCCCAGCTTTGGCCAGGGAGATACTTTCTTCTGGGTCATCTTCAGCAAGCCAATCTCTCGCTTCAAGCAAAATAACTTGCTTCATGAACCACATCTTTGCTTACACACTCAAAAACCACACACACATCATAAACCAACAGAAATTTGCCTGGCTGTAAGAAAAGGCAGTACATACCTACAGCCCTTCTGCTTTTTCTGCCCAATAGCAGAAAACTAATATATTTGCACAATAAAAAATATAAACAATATAGTAAATGTTTATAAAACTACTCAGAAATAGGTATTAGCCACAAAGAAGAACACATAAACAACCCCTTTTTGTTTCAACGTTTGGTTTTAGATCGTAATCCCTTCAGTCAGAACTAGGTTTACATGACGGGCTGTAAAGTATTTTGCTTGAAACTCAGTCCTTTGGCTTCCATTCTCAGTTCAAGTAAAAACTTTATTTCTGACCCATTGGCCATTTTCTAACCAGCCACTTTCAAATTTTAAGCCTGGGGGTACTGTTAGCCAGTAGGCAGACTTGTTTACCTCCTCATACATCTGACATTAGGCTGACCTGAATTTTACAAGCTGGGAACTATTATGTCACCATGTATAATTAAACCTAAATATACAATTTAAGAAAGAAAACAAGATGTAATGTGGAAAGAATTACCAGTGGGTCAAGTTCAGGTGGTAAATCAGGACGTGAATGGTACTGCTTACTGCACCCTGCTTTGAAATACAACCTGCATGCCCTGCATTCTGCATAATACAAGAGCTGGGGGTTTTTTAATAAAAAAAAAAAAAGGAAAAAAAGGGGGGAAAAGTAATTTATTGGTAGCTCTTCCACCGAGAATGAAGTTTGTACATATTTTAGTGAAAGACCCAGCGGACCCGCAAACCCACAGACCTCGACAATATTGATCAGCATGATCCCACAGTAGCTCCGCGGGGCACGAAAGCCCCGCTGCCGGGGGCGGGGAGCGGCGCCTCCCGGACTACAGCTCCCGAAGGGCTGCGGGCGCCCAGGGCCAGCGGCCTCGCTTCCTGCGCGGGCCTCGGGAGCCGATGGAGCCGACGGACGGCGCCGAGGAGGAGGCGCTGGTGCGGTGCCCCGTGTGCTTGCGGGAGCTGCCAGGCGCGCACATCAACTCGCACCTGGACCGCTGCTTGCAGGCCGAGGAGGCCGCGGCCGAGCCCCCCAGCAAGCGGCCGCGCCTCGCCACCGCCCCGCCGGGCAGCCGGGCCGAGGGGGGGCCGGAGGAGGCCCGCCCGGCCGAGGGCCCCCCTGTCTTCTCCCTCTTCCAGAAGGGCCGCGGCGGGCAGAGCCCGGGGGCCGGCGGCAGGAGGAGCGGAGCGGGGCAGGACGAGGCCGCCGTGCAGCCGGGGGATGGATGCTCAGCGGCGCTGCTCGGGGCCAGCCTGGCGCAGAAGCTGGAGGGGAAACCCCTGGCCGAGCTGTTGCGGCCGGACACGCTGGGGGATTACGTGGGGCAGGAGCGGGTCCTGGGGGCGCAGACCCTGCTACGGTCCCTCCTGGAGTCCCACGAAATCCCCTCCCTCATCCTCTGGGGACCGCCGGGCTGCGGCAAGGTGAGTGCGTGCGGTGGGCGTCCTGCCGCAGGCTCACAGCGTGGAGATTCATCTCCTGCGCTTTTTCACTCTTGAGGCAGATGAACTTAAAGGATGAGCGGGACCCGTTTCTTTTTGAACTCGCTCTTTTTTGTCTTACCGTTTCTTATGTTGGCCCCTTTTCCACTAGTTTTCACTTAAGATTACAAAAACACAACCTGCCTCCTGAATAAAATAGAAGTTGTTCACCCCCACCAGTCCCATTCCCTGCATCTTGACGTTTGGTTGCACTGGCCCCTCTTGGTTTAAGATAATATTTTGTAAACTCCAAACCCATTGCCTAAAACATAAGCTGTGTTTTAGTCAATGATTGAGAAGCTTAAAAACAGCAACAACACAGAATCTGTAAATATGTCTAGGAAACAATGTGAGACACAAGCAGATTAATACAGCGGTTTGCGAGTGCTGGATTTGCTTTAGCCTACAAATTCCAGCCCCTGAGAGAAGGCAGCTCTGCTGTGGAAGGGAGGTAGCCTAATGTCCACCTTTAAACACTCTGAAACTGTTTTTTGCAGGATCTGACTGCTACAGCTTCTCATTTTGCCTCCTTTAAGATAACAGGGGCAGACCGTGGATAATCCCAAAAGGCCCTGTAATTACAACACAGCAGTAGTGAGGGAAGGACCAAAGGAATGCCTCAAGTGTGATCAGGAGAGACCACTCTTAAGATCTTGCCTTCCTTTTTGTCCTTGTATTTCAGATTTGGGTGTGGGGTGGCAGGGCAAGCAAAATAGATAGTTATCTCTGTCAATCTGATGTGTGCATAGCATTAAGTTTTGCATGTTATGTGTATAGGTGTCTTGGCTCTGTGGAGAGTATGTGTGAGAAATCTGGGATAGGAAAAATAAGGAATTAATTCTTAGCAGAGAAGTTAAGGACAGAGCAGCAGTATGCTTGAAAATAAAAGGAGACTTGATATGTATAGTACTTGAATAATAATGCCAGTTAATCACAGTTAATAAGCCACAAGTATGAGAACTATTGATAGATGAGTACTGTTAGCAATGATACAACAGGTTGTTTAGACTAGGTAACATACACCCGAAAAGAACCAACTGGTGAACTTAAATAATTGTAATTTCCTTTAAAATAACAAGGTAATAGCAGAAAGCAAGAGCTCAGAAAAAATGGGGTAAAGAGGGCTGTTTCTAAAGGTAATGAGGGGAGGTGAATTGACCAAAGTAAGATGGCCAGAGAGAGAAGTGGAATTAAATTCTTTAACAAATAGGAATCCTCCTTGCTGAATGAGTAATGCATCCAGGGGCTTGCTTCTATATTTATTTGTACTCTTCTGCCTTTTGTTTTGTGTTACTCGTGTCAACAGCATGTGCTTGCTCTTTCTCGAAGCCCTCTTTCTTCTGGAAAAAAAGATCTCTTACAAATGCAGTGGTAGCACAGCAAAGGCTCCGTACAGTCTCTGAAAACTGGCACTGAATTCAGGGGCCTTCAGGTTGTGATTTGATGAATACCCCTGGTTTTGGCCATGGACATGCTTTTTCATGAGCTTGTGACAGCTTAACAGTTGTGTTTCAGTACTAAGACTGCCTTTGAATGTGTGATCTGTTTTATGCCTGTAATATTGCAGCTTTCACTCTCCTTTCTTATGACCCATCTTCTTCACCCATATGCTTTATGCAGAATTATATTTAGTAAGCTTGCTTCTCACAGAGTTTAAATTCTACTGCTTATCAGTCAGCTGACATGCATCAATTCTGTGCCTTTTGACCCATCAAGGAACAGTTCCACAATTTATCTGTTACTTTTTCACTCTCAAAGTATTTTAATTGTTGGGTAACTCATCTACTTTCTAGGTTACTCCTTCTGAGCAAAGTTTTGAGTCTACGTGCTTTCAGCTACCTCCTGATGGAACATCCATTACTGGCTGAACCAGAAATTCCTACGGCAAAAACTTGAACTTTTTCCTTCACCCATGGTTATCAGTATTTCTAGGATGGTGCCAGAGTATAGTTTCATCTCAGGCCTTCTTCCCCATAAATCATATTCTCTGTCTCAGGCAAATATCTGAAAGTTCCATCCTTTTTTTAAGGATATTTTTTATTAAATTCCTCTCCTTACAGATGTAACATGCAAGCAAAGTAGTCCCCTAAAAGATGGGAAAAGAAGTCTGTGGTTGCCTGCCTGTCCCATTCACTTACTATTTGGGTTCTATGTATATAACATCTAAGAAAACATTTAATGAGAAAGTAACGTAGTGCTTGAAACTTGAAAGAAGCTGTGAGGGAGAAGTAACTATTCTCACTACCTCAAGACCTGGTTGGACTGATAATCAAAAGCTTCTTCCATTAAGTACAGTGTTTTTCAGAAGGAAAAATCATAAGAAATAACTGCATGTTTTGTAGCTTCATATGTAACAAGGCCACATGCTAAGCTCTGCCCATCAAAGAGCTAAAATAGGAGCATAATTAGATATGTTGGTCTAAATTCAGAAGTGCTGTGTAAGATAGTCATACACTTCTTAAACCTCTTCATGCTCTTGCTACCCATGGAATCCGATTATTGCAGCCCATCTATGCCTTCTTCCATTTCTACAGCCAAATGCCGTGCTAACTGATACTTTTGCAAAGGGTAGAGCAGGACTAACTAAAAAAAATAAAATAACTGGAGATGGAATAAATCATCAGGGCCAAATTTCAAATCAATCTGTGTATTATTTTTCAGTTTGGACCGTTATGAGAAGTAGTAGTTCAACAGACTTTTCTAAGCAAGAAGAAAATAATTTTGCCTGTTAAAGTGCTACAACTGCAGTATTTCGCATCGTAGGTCATGAGTACTTTTGGAGAATTTTAATCATGAAAGCTTAGGTACTGGAGTAAAAATACAATGCTTTGTAACTGCTTTGCCCAAGTCAACTTTGGCCTCAGCTGCATTTGAATATTCAAGAAAGCACCCTCAAAGCTGAAAAGACAAAATTGGCGTACTTCTGTTATGATCATTTCTCATGAGTTTCCATCTGTATTGAGTCCTCTTCCTTTAAGGGAGCATGATCTTTGAATTTGTCATCCTAATTTCTTAGGAAGCCAAGGTGCTCTGGGTGAAGAGGCTTTGATTCTTACTTTTGTCACTCCTAAGTGTTGAACACGAGAACCTATTTTCTGCTTTTAAGAAGTTGACCACACACATGCCAGAAGAAACACTGCCTAAAAGAGATGCCGTGGTTATTAACTTAGGAACAGTTAGCTTGTTCGTCCTGACTATGCAAATTTTTTAAAGCCTGTATCAATCCTAATGTAATCTGAGTAAGCTGTACTGTGATTTATGGCACCTTAATGCAGGGATTTAGATTTTTGCTTGTCTGCCATTGGGACACCAATTTTAGTAAAGAGTTAGCAAGGGGACACGGCGTAACTTGAGCACTGAATAATTTTGCGGCCACAGATGCAGTTTAACCTTATAAACCTGAACATTCTGTATTTAAATACAGTAAACATTCCCTCTTATGTGTGTTGTTTAACAAGAAAAAACTTGATAGCAAGTGGCATGAACCCACTCCCTACAAAAGATAAGACTTTTTTTTTGCTCCCTGCATATTTATCATCCCTTCCCTCCAGTGCTTTCTGTTTTACTAATTCAAGTGGTTACCTAAATGGCTGTTTGATTACTTGAGTGTATTTCATCTTCTCTTATTCATACAGCTTGGGGCCTGATTTGAACCATTTGAAGTAAGAGTTCTTTTGATTGATTACCATGAAATTTTTAACTGAAAATGCATGATGTCTTTTGCAGTAGCATACACTGAAAGTCCAGAACAACTCTGAAAAATGGATTTGTCTTTGCAGTTGCCTGGGAGAAGTCTTCTAATACAGTGCGCTTGTTTTTGCTTATGCCAATCTAAATCAGGAATAACTTAGGATAACTCTCTAGGTAGGGAAATCTGGAGGAGAAAACACAATTGTATTCATGAAAAAAGTTGGAATATAAGGAGACAAATCTGGATGCAGCAAATGGAGGCAACAGCTCCATTTCAGTAAACATTATGCAATGACCTTGCATCTGTTTATGCTTGCTTGGGCTTGGATTCTGGAAGTGCTGTAAACCACATGTTGTGGCTCTTGTTCAGTGACACTTACTCCTCCAGTAGTATCTCAGTGGGCTATTTGGGGTGTGAGGAACCAAACAAGATGGGTAAGAATAGCATCTGCCCTTATATAAATGCCAACTGCTGCTACTTTTGATTGTGTTTATCTGTATAGACAGTGTCCCCAGGCCATGTTCATCTGCTATCCTGCCAGTTTCCTTTAGACACACAGCCAGAATTATCTCCTGTGACGCAGCGTGGTAGCTTGGGGCAGCTCAGCAGTATTGGGTAGGACAGACCCCAGCTTTCTGAGCTGCGTGCCAGGGAATTGTTCCCCTTTTTGGCATTCAAGAATGCTGGAAGTGTTGGTGTCTCCCTCAAGGCAGTGAAACAAAGTATGGCCTTTCCTGACTGCTTTTCAATGACAATATGGCCCTGCTGCTAGCAAAGGGAGGGTTCAGGGAGAGGAGAGGCCATTGATGGCAACACCTTGTAAACAAAGGTATGGAAATCCTGGCCAGAATAAAGGGGGAGGAAAAAATACCAAGAAAGTCATGGTCAAACAGCCACAAAGAAAAATCAGGATGCTAGTTTTGTCATCCCTGTCCCAAACATAATTCACACAGTGGTTTGCTCTGGAACAAACCAGCAAAGTCACTTGTTGGAGAGACTTACGTGCCAGCTAGATTACCCCTGCTCAGGAATAATCCATGCTGCACTGCAGTCTAAACACTAGTACCAATCTGTTCCAGACTGCTTTGGTCACTGAAACGTGGCCTGGCAGAGCAAAGCATCTATGTTGGAGGGACCCATCCAGCTGGAAGGAGAGCTCTTGCACCAGTGTGCTCCTGCAACATGTAGTGTGAATGTCAACTCCTTATGAAAAGGGCTGTGAAGTTGGAACAGAAAGGCTATGAGCATTTCTCCATGCCTTGCAGGAGCTCTCTGGCATGAAAGCTGATGACAGGATAGATGTGATTGAGAGATCATGTGTTTTCTGTGCCTGACATCTACAACGGTTGTTTCACTAAATTTATGCAATGTAAGAATGGTTAAGGGAAGTCTCCATGAGCAGACAACCTTAGGGAAATCCCTAAATAAGATCTACCTGGTCTCCACAAAAGTTTGGAATGATCTTAGGTTTCACAGTCAACTTCTTAACTCAATATATGATCTGACCATATATTCTGATCTTTTCCCATTTTTTTTCAGTTCCACTTTTTGAAGAGAGCTAGGCAGTATCACTTTTCATTCCTGTAAGGGGCCTTGGTGAGCTAACACAATGGGCATATTTTAATGGCCTGGTACAGGGGTGCAAAAATCAAACGACTACCTTAATTCTAAGAACATAATGTTAGTCACTGAACATCAGCATCGATACAACTGGCTTAAAACTTGCGTTTTACTGTTTTCTTCCATGGGTTTGAAGCTGCATTGACTAGTGACAGTGCAGACAGTAGGGGAATACTTAAAGAGAGTTGCCCAGTCACGGAAACTTGTGGGTATACAGAAAATTCTTGTCTCCTAGTACAAACAACCAGCTAACCAAACAGCAAATTGGATTGACTTTTCTGCTGTGACAGTGAGAGGTGTGTGGAGTCAAGCATGCTTTACGGGTTGCTTTTGTTTCATCCCTAACTTGTATCAAAGCCTGGAAGAACTGGTAGCATAGTTGGTTTAGAGTGAGCTTGTTTGGCTATTTTTGTGTTTGGTTGCTGGGTTTTTTATGGTTGCAGCCCGTGGGAGAGGATATTCCTTTTTGGGCTGACACAAAGCAATGTACAGGGCAGTAAAGGAGGGCTTCAGCGGTTAAGTGTTTGTTCTGTGTGTAGTGGGTCTGGAAATAAATGACCACAGGCTGAAGTTGAAAGTGTTATTGATTGGTGAGTAATGGTTCAGGAGTTTCTTGGTGAATATGTTTCTGTGTTTCAGAACAGCTCCTTATGATGGCACTGCTTTAGCTTGTCTAAACAGGTAAGTCAGAAAGGTCTCACAATTTTTGGCATAAAACTTGAGATGATAGGTGTGAGCTTGGATAGTTTGGTGTGATAATAGAACCGAGAATGATTTCTGGAAGGGGCAAGGACTGTGAGCTTTGTAAGGTGTAATTTTTAGTGAAGTTAGCAACAGGTTAGTTTGCAGAATCACTCCTATTCTTAATTTGTGGGAAACAATATTTCTGCTCCTCCCCATAAGGAAAGAACACAAGCTAATTAAGAAAAATCTATATAATAAAAGGAGCAGATTATCAATTTGTTTAGATTTCCTCTTCCTGCTTGTTATGCAATTCTGATATAGATGTATTATTAATTCATATTAAATTGCAATGTCAGTGTTACTATTTTAAAAGACTTGTTTTCTAATGCAACAGCCAAACTTCAAAATTATTTTAGATGGTGAAGGATATTCAGTGTGTTTTCTTCTGCCTTATTTCATATCAGATTTCTAATTTTCTTCTTATCCCTTAAATGCATTGCCTCTGAATTTAGTGAGGGGAAACTATGGGTCTAGCATATGAGTTATAGTTGTTCTGTGCTAGTGCCTTCATGCTTAAGCAACCCTGCTTAAGTTAAGTCTCCACTAGGTTATGTGTTCTCTTAGGTTGTAACCTGAAGTAACAGAGGCAGAAAACAGTGTGGAATGTTACTGGCTTTTCCTTGAGATGGTGGGAGAAGCAGCAGCATAAAAAATCTGAACTCATAGGAAATAATAGCCTTTCAGAGGCGGGGAGAGTTTGATCTGTATGTGATAGGCAGTTAGACTTGCTAAGTGATTAATTGTGCAAAACAGAAGAAAGGGACTGTGAACATGCCTGTCGATATCAAACACTGCTTTTGAGAGGCAATGTATGTTATTCTTATTACAACCTTTGGTGACCCCAAACTTGGCAGAGCAGGAGGGGTGCGTGCTGGCTGAGAGCTGTGCAGCAGTTTTCAAGTAGATTCTTGGTCTAATAGTAACTTTCAAACAAATCTCTTTGTATTTCATTTTCCTAAATTGGTGTTAGAAGTATGGACTCCTGCATGTGTGTAAAACAAATTCGTGGCAGCTTTTGTTGTAAACAACAAAACTCTCTGAATGACAGCCAGGGTACATTGTGAGCTACCAGTCCAAGTGGAGCTACAAGAAGAATAGCCATTTGACTTATTTTTCATTTTTCTTCCTCCTCTCACCACTACCACTTTTAGAGAAGGAAGAGGTACATTTTTCCTTTTTCATCCTCAGCTTTGATGTATTGGGGGTTTTCCATGCTTTGAGAGATTTTTAAGGCATGGGTATATCCTCTGAAGGTACATTCTGAATCAAGGCCCTTTTGTAAGGAAACACAAACTTTGGTTTTAATTTGGTAGCTTAATTTCAAAGATAGTTTCCTTTTGTTTTGAGGGGAGGATATTTGGTTGGTTGATTTGTTTTCCAGATCTTCCTGATTTCTGTAGGCTTTGCTGCAAACACTTTCTAAGTGTCTTTCAAGTCTTGTCTTGTGTAGTGATACAAGTTAGGGAGGAGCTGGTTGCTTGAGCTCCAGGGAATGAGGGAAGATCTAACATGGAATACGAGTCTTGTATCAGGACCTGAAATGACACCACTTCTGAAAACAATCAGGAAGCCCTTACTAAAACTAAAGCAAGAATAAATAGTGATACATCCTCCTCCTTAGCCTCTGCTTTTCCATCTTGGGCTGATTGCCATTTCTGAGACAAGGAGATCCATTAAAGAGACAGAGCAGTGCTGCAACAGCACTGGTAGCCAAGTGGTGGGTGGTTGTTTCTATAGCCTCCCTGCAAGAGGATCAGGTTGACAGCACCTGCTGCTTTACCCTCAGCACTTGGAACATCTTCTGAGGTGGTTTTGCCAGCACCTGTCCCACTCCTCATCTTTTGAGGCTCTCCTGTCTTCATTTTCCTCAGGCTCCTTTAATAGAAGAGTGTGCTTGATGGAAGAATCACCTGTTTTCTCTAGCAGTACTTTCAAATAGAGATACACTCTGCTTGGGACATGCAGATACACCCACCTTTACTAAGGATTGTGAAGGAAAGTCTGAAAATCATGCCTGTGATGTTTTCAGGTGTAATAAATCTACCCAGGAGGTTGCTGGAGATTGCTTCTGTGCTTTGGTAGGCTTTGTGAAATTCTATATAAATAAATTCTGATTTGAAGAGGTTGTTCATAAGGAAAGAAAAACAACATAGCTGCTCACTAAAAACAGCCAACAGCTTGTTCAGTCAGCTGTCTTTTACTTCCCTGGGCCAGCATTTGATTACTGTTGACTATTTAGGTTTAAGAGTTACATTTTCTTAAGCACATATATAATTTTTCAGTACTAACATTCCCATGATTTTGTAGAAACTCCTGTCTGATTAATTTCATTTTCATATGTATTGGAAATAGAAAAGGGTTTAATTAACAACATTGTAGGTTATGTTTTTGTGTGCACTTTTGGTCTATACAATATAAGAAAGACATTAAGCTATTAGAGAATATCCAAAGGAGAGCAACAAAGATGGTGAAGGGCCTTGAAGGGAAGCCGTATGAGGAGTGGCTGAGGTCACTTGGTCTGTTCAGCCTGGAGAAGAGGAGACTGAGGGGAGACCTCATTGCAGTCTACAACTTCCTCATGAGAGGAAGAAGAGGGTCAGGCACTGATCTCTTCTCTGTGGTGACCAGTGACAGGACCCAAGGAAATGGCCTGAATTTGTGTCAGGGGAGGTTTAGGTTGGATATTAGAGAAAGGTTCTTCACTCAGAGGGTGGTTGGGCACCGGAACAGGCTCCCCAGGGAAGTGATCACAGCACCAAATCTGCCAGAGTTCAAGAAGCCTTTGGATGATACCCTCATATGGTGTGACTCTTGGGGCTGGTCCTGTGCAGGGCTAAGGGTTGGACCTGATGATCCTTGTGGGTCCCGTCCAACTCAGCATATTCTGTGAATCTGTGAAATGTGGTTGCACTGTAAACTCTGCTGCAGGTGTCTTGGGACAGTCCAGCTCTTTAGCTATTAACATACTTTACAAAATAACTGCACAGTAAATTGCAGTCAGCCTGTCTTCTGTGACAGATATGTATTTGGCAAAGAGTTCTTCTTCCATGATAAAGGAGACAGCTGTCATTGCTGGCCTTTTCAGTATTGAGACTCACTGGGTCTGGTACGTAAAAGTGCAGGCATTAGAAATGCAGCAGAGGAATTGGCAACTACCTCTAGCAGGAAGTTTAGAAGTCTTCCATGTGCTAGAATAACATGGACTAAAATGGCTTACTGTATAAACTGTCAACACTGTCCCCGTGTCCAAAATATATAGGTTTGCTCTTTACATATTTTCTTCAAATAGGTACTTTCTGTGTCCAAAACGATTTTTTACAAAGCTTTCTCCTGTTACTGTTTCAGACTACACTGGCACACATCATAGCCAACAACAGCAAAAAGAATGGCACAAGGTTTGTGACACTGTCAGCCACAAGTGCCAAGACAAATGATGTTCGAGATGTCATCAGCCAAGCCCAGAATGAAAGAAGGCTCTTCAAGAGAAAAACTATCCTCTTTATTGACGAGATCCATCGTTTCAATAAATCTCAGCAGGTATTGTACTACACCGCTTTTTGAAAAAAGCTTTTGTCAGCACTTCTGTAAAATTTCCTACTTTGCCTTAAGATGATACCTTCCTTTGGGCTTTTGATTTCAATGTTAATGTTTTTAGTAGGTGAATTAGGAAGAAACATAAAAATTAAATTCCTTAACTTACTTCCAACCAGAGTTTAATTATTGTGATTCAAAGATTTAAATGAAAGGCTGAGTTATAGTTGACTTATATGCGAGTCCTTATATGATGTTTTTCTGAAATTTTATTTCTGCCAAGTCATGTTAGTAGTGTTTGCTGCACACATCTTCATTTCAGCCTCCACCTCATGGTAGCATTCTGTATTACCTTTAAAAAGGTCTGGAATGTGAATGTGCCAAGGGTATGTATTTTAATGTTGTCCCCTCTACTCTGTGAAAAAAAGTAAGGCATGGCATGGTGCTTTGGGATAACACTGCAGCCATCACTTGAGTATTTTTTTTCTTTTGCCTTTTCTAGTTATAAAGTTTCTTTAGTTGTAACATGGAAAGCTTGAATGCTGCACTACAGGTTATAGTTTTTATATTGAACTGTACTGCAATCTTCCTGTAGTTTTTTGAGCCATCCTATAGAATTATGTAGGCAATTGTAGCCCCACAGGTTGGTTCATAGCGTAGCCTCACTATTCATAATACTTGATAAGGCAATTTCATGATTTCTTATGTTGCCAAGCAATAAACCAAATCCATATAAATAAACTAAAAATTTGCAGATTTTTTTACCCTGTTTTCATTGGGTAAGGTCATTCTCATTCCAACCATTTGTTATTAAGGTGAACAGCCTGTAGCATGTTGGGTGCATGAAATTAAATCATTTACATATCTGCACAGATGAACTGCCTTGTCAGTGTGGTTATTTGTCATATCAACAGGGAACCCAAAGACTCACAAGATGCAAAAAAATGACAGCCTACTCACCTGGGATGTTTCAGGTTGTCGTTGATCGAGATCAGCTTTTTCTGCTTCCCTCCCATCCTCAGGACACTTTCCTTCCTCACGTTGAGTGCGGGACAGTGACCCTGATAGGAGCGACCACAGAAAACCCTTCCTTCCAAGTCAACGCCGCTCTTCTGAGCCGGTGCCGGGTGATCGTCCTGGAGAAGCTCTCGGTGGAAGCAATGGAGGCAATTCTGATGCGGGCCGTCAGGTCCTTAGGGGTCCAGGTTTTGGGCCAGGGTGACCAGCACAGCAGCTCTGCAACTGGCAGCAGCAGCGAGAGCTCAGAGTGAGTACTTTATGGGCTGCAGGGTGTTAACGCGCACGGCCCGAGGAGTTGACTGCCTGCCAGGGAGAGAATGAAGCAGTTGGGGGGTGGGAAGAGAAACCCTAGCCACTTCTGATAGTAAAGAAAAGAAGTGGCAGCATATGGCAGGGGCGGGGGTGACAGGAGAGAGAGAATTCAAAGCATTGGCTCTCTCCATCCAAAACATAATCTTACCGTCTGGATTAGGAGAGAATTTTATGCTTGGATCTGTAGCTCCTGACTCACCCTCACAGGATATTTAAATCCATTCTGCTGCTGAGGATTTGCTGTGGAAGTCTGTAACTGGGTCTTTGTCATGTCCTAATGTGTATTACTTCTTGTTACTGGTTGTAAAAGCATCATGTTACCGTTCAGTAGTGGACCAAGTATCCCCTCTTAATTAATTTGAAAGTGCCTGACAAAAGTTCATTGTTTTCTGAGAATTTTTTTTTTAATAAGATCAGGGAGGATGCTGCTGCTCCTGTTCTTTAATTGCAGGATTTGTGCTGTGCTATATTTTATGGTATCCTTTGAGGAGAGGAGGCTGTTGCTGTGAGATGTTAAGAGACTTCATTTTTCTCTGCTCCTTAATGTCCAGGCCAGATAGAGTCACATTAAATACTTGAGAAAATTTTGGAAAAAAACAAGGTCCGGATTTGTCCATAAGGGATGTTATCTGCCTTCTGAAATGGAAGGCTGGCAAATAAGAATAATGCTTGGTACTGTGGTATTCACATGTAGGCTCTTACACTTCCTTCATGTTGGTTCTTGGCTACACTACTAGTAATTTACAGTGCATTGACATGGTGGTGATTGGCAGGCAGTCTGTATGAAATAAATGAGAGGGAATCCGCTTGAACTTTATCACAGAATGTAAGCACTAAGAATCGCCAATCTGAATGCTGAGGTCAGGGCTGTAAGGAAAGGTATTTCTTTTTTGGTTTTAGATTACCCTGCCTCATAGTTTACTCATTTGTTGCTTTTACATGTTGTAGTAATGTGAATTTTAGAAGAGAAGGGAGTACTGCATGTCAACCTTAATGTAATGGCACAGCTGTGGTTGTGGCTACACCCTGACTGGGGTTCAGAGACTTTCTTTGCTACACAGGATTAAAGTACAAGGCATAGTTTCAGCTGCAGTTGTTTGGGTTTTGCTAGACTCTGTATCTGTAACCTTCCAATAGCTATGGGTGATTTAAACAGCATAGTGTAGTGCTTCATCAAACTGAAAGAAGTCTGGCAGGCATGCAGTCAGACTAGCACAGTTTCAGTAATCTCTCCATGAGGAGAGAGGGCCACACTCCGATGGATAACGTGGGAGTCAAGCATTTGAAAATAAAAATAGGGTTTTGAATTGAGGAGAGTTTGTTGCAGTTGTGTGTCAGGTCTTGTCTTTTCTGACACTATCTGGTTCTGGTCCACAGAGGCTACGTAGAGTTGCTGATGGCTTAGGTTTTTTATAATCCATCCTGTCCCTTACTGTGGTTCTGGTTTTGGCCGCCTCATTAATTCCATCTTCTTACTTCACTGTTAATACCGTTTCTGCTCCTTCATTTCTTCTCCAGCTACTACTGCGCAGGAGCAGTTGTCTCATACCTTTTGACCACCCTGCTTCTATGAAGCAGGGCTGTCATTAAATGCGGGAAGGTAACTGTTCATGATGTCTTGAGGAATAAATTAAAGTCATCAGTTACAATTGATTTGGTTGTTAACTGTGCTCACGTTTGTTCCAGAGTTAGAAAACGAGCTGTAAGGCAATGTGTCCCCAAATGGTGGGGTATGCCCGCTTTGAAAATGCTGCAGAGATAAGCCAGAAGGCACAAGATATGTGTACATTGAATTTTGGACTCCATTTCCCATGTGAGTCCCTTTTTCCAGGCCACAGTATGAGAATGTGCTGCTTGGCCTCAGTTTTTCAAATGGTTTTGGTATCACATCACTTGTCTGACATGACAGCTTACCTAAAAATGAGATTTTGAAGAAGAGCATAATTCTTTGTGGTCTCTCCTACTACCTTGAGGAATAAGGTGAGGGGTGAATCTTCCTTAGTCTCTACAGGCATCTTCTGTGCTCAAAAAGAATGCAGCCATCACTTTGTGATTCAATGGTTTCATCATCTGCACTCCACAAGGAAAATGTGCTCTACCCAAATTTGTTCTCTTAAATTTTCTTGGTGGATTTTTCTTATCTTTCTTCCACCATTGTTGCAGGCTTCTGATAGGGTTAGGTCACCTGGCTTCTCTTTCATTCCATTGTGGCCTTTTCTTGCTCTAAAGCTGAAACAGAACTAGCAAGAGGTATTACCTACTTTGGCATCTTTGTTGTGTCATCATGGCTCATAAAGCTTCTTTGACGGTTTTTATGTTAGTTACTGTATTTCTTTAGGATAAGATGTGCTTTGTGTTACATTTTCACCAGCATTACTGCCATCAAACTGTGCCTGTGAAGTCTGCAGTAAATCAAACTGAAAGATGGGTAACAGGAAAGGACGAAACATATTCAGGATGTAGAAAAGTAAGAAGTCAATATTGAAGATGCTTCATATTGCTACACCTTTGCTTGTACTTTCTGAAGTTTATGCTGCCTCAGTAGTAGCACAAGCTGTTCCAGGTGTACAGTAATAGTGTACACTGACACTACTACTGTGTCGGTGATGGAGGAAATCAAATTCTTTTCTTGGCTTTTTATTTTTATCATTCCAGTGCTGCCCTCAGAGTGGTAGCTGTAATTGAAGTCAGACAGTAAACTGGATAGTGGATTAATGTCTTTGAAGTTAGATAGCATAGAAGGCACTCAGCTGAGGGAAATGAAAGGATCCCCGGTTTCCTGTCGGCAAGCTCAGACACTATGCAGTTCATCTAGTTACTGGCTGTATCACAAGTTCTAACATGTTTTAAATTCACTGGCTTGTAAATCACAACATTGAAGATGGAATTCCTTTGGGTCTTCAGTGTTCAATACCCTTTTGAAAATTACTCCTTAATTGGAACATCTATCCAATTTCCTTGCAGGAAATGAGTTGCTGAGGTGAGAAGTGGATTTCGCCCTGGAAGTGGACAAGATCTTCGCTTGTAACCAGATTTTCCATACTTTCTTGTGAATATTTGTTTCAATTTCTGTAATATAAATTGCTTGTGTTGAGTAAACAGGGCACTTAGAGTCCTAGAGTGCAATTGAAGAGGCAGGAATACAACGCAGCTTTTTTTGCCAAGCTTCTAGTTAGCAGATAAATGGCAAAAGTGCCCTGAAGCCTCGACTTGGTTTGGTATAGACTGTACGTAGCTTCTTCCAAGTGTAGTACCTGCTTTTTAATACTTTCAGTGCTTCCCTTCTACTTGGCAGTCGCTGTGTGCATTGGTGGTGGATGTCAGTTTGAGGAGGCCTCAACCGCATGGTGTTCTTCTCTGCAAACAGCGGGCAAAGAACTGAGTCCTTGCAGGTGAAACCTTCTCTTCAGTATGCCCTGCCGGTGTATCTGAAGTGTTTACTCAGTGTGCCGTATATTTGGTTTTGTTCCCTGTTGATGAAGGTAATAGCAGCAGGATGTCTGTATGTAGTGCCTGCTGTTTTTTTAAAAATTGATTTTGCTTCCCTTGCTGGCTTTTTTCAATGCATATGAAAAATCTGATGCCTGTCTGTACTGCTGAGGCATGAACATTGCTCCCTGATTTCAAGGAATTTGATGCCTGAGATAATTGACTGAATAAGTCCCTGTGCTGTTGTATTCTTCTGCTTCCTCATTCAAACACCAAAATGGTGTTTGAAGCACCTGGCGAAAGTGCCACTGTATGTGTGTTAAATTTTTTTCCTAGCTTTATCAAATAGAGAAGAAATAAGAAGATGGAAAAAAGTATGATGAGATATGTGTATATAGATTTATTTTTCCCACAGGGTGTGATTCCTGCTGCCTACTCTCTGCAGCATGGGTTTTGCCCCTAGAAGACAAGTTGGCCTTCACTTGCAGTGGTGTGGATTAAGATTGCAGCTGTGCTAGCTTTTCGCTCTTATGTGTTGCCATGAGAGGACTCAAATATTAACTGTTGAAGTTTTTCCAGGACTTACAGTGCTTTTCTTTTGTGTGACAAGTGCAAAGTGGGTTTGCAAGGAGGAAGAGAAGTCAAGTAATGAAGATCAGTGGATACATGTTCCTGGAACACTTGGGGTTGTCTTTTTGTACACCACTGGTAATAACAGTAATATTTCTTTTCAGTGAATGAAGTGCAGGGCTGTTGTGAATCCCTAATTATTTGACACACAAGAGCTTCATAAGAAAGTGCCTCTCACACCAAGCTCTGTGTGCTATCCCTGCTGATACATGATTCGCAGTCCAGTTACTAGAAATGGCTCAGTTAGGCCATTACTTAATGCCATGTTTTAACTCCATTAGCTACTGTTTCCAATCAAATCAGTTGTATCCTCTGACTGGCAAACATCATAGGTGTTACCTTGTCTACTAACTAAGTTTCAGGGTTAAATCCTCAACAGTACGTCTGTGACATGTGCAGGGGTGAGCTGGTTTGTATATGCCCCAACAGTGGGGACTGTAGCCCGCTAGATGAAAACCTGGAGACAAAGCTTGAGGACTTTGTTGTTCTCCCAGAGTTTTCATAGACCCACTATGAGATCTCAGAAGATTCTTCACCTGCAGCTCCATTTCTCAGCTCTTCCCATGTTGTTCATTCAGATTGTGAGTTCGCTGGAATTTGGCCTTTTTCATGTATTTGTATAGTCCTGGCACACTTAGAATAGTAGATGGCAAGAAGAGTGACATGCATGTATTGGGATGCCATTTCTTTATAGGAAGATTTTTTTTTTATACCCCACTGACTAAAGCTGTAATATCATACAAAAAAAAGAAAAGCAGGATGCATATACTTTACAATATAAACAATCCTTCCAGTTGTTGCTTTTTAAAGAAAACAGCAGCTCCTGCTATTGGTAGTTAGTTCAAAACCATATGCTAATTACTTTATAACTCGCTGTATTCTCTCGGCTGCATTTGGATAGCTTTCTACCTTTTCATTGTTCTTCCAACAAGGAGTTTGAAATGGTGATGGAGTAAAACCTTGTGTAAAGTTCAACTGGCTGTGTCAGAATTGTGCTCTGGCAAAAACCTAACCCTAGTTTCCATTGAGTTTAATGAGGTGAGGAAAAATAAGGGGGTCAAATAGATGAGAGTTCATCCCTAGATTTTTTCATGTGCAATTTTATTTAACAGGCATTGGATCAGGAGGAAGAGGGTTGAGTCCCACGGTGTTCTCCCTGGCTCTGCAGTACTTAATCATGGCAGGATGAGTTAAGAATGAATCTTAAGCCCAGCTGCATCTCAACAAACTTTGTAAAGACACATTATCTCTAGCATAATAAGCATGGTGGGGGCTCATGGTGTGTGGTTATTCTGTTGCAGATTCCCGGTGTTCATAGAAGCCAAAGCTTTAAACACACTTGCCTACCTTTGCGACGGTGATGCAAGGACTGGACTGAATGGACTCCAGTTGGCAGTTCAGGCCAGATTAGCAGCAGGAAAGACCAGTCCTTTGAATATTACCAAAGGTGGTTCTGCAGATGGCATTCTGATAACAGAAGAGCACGTAAAGGAAGGGCTCCAGCGATCCCACATCCTGTATGACCGAGCAGGTGAGTACCTGATACGGTTTCTGAGATGCAGTGTTCTCAAGAGGTGATAGTCTCTGTAATTTCTTTTTCTTCTCCCTTTTTCATACCAGGTGCTCTAGTGAAACAGTGGTTTGCCCTAGAAACTAGTTTTCCTGTACAATGCAGTTCAGCCAGAAATTCCTTCTAAACAGGGTTTCCTCTTAGCATTTAGGAAGTGTAGGTTAGCTGAAAGACACATTTGCTGCCCTGAAAACAGTTGCATGGTGGAATTATTTGTTATTTAAGGTTATTAGAATATTGTCTTCTACGAGGATTGCAGTGTAAAGTAGGCGAAGAATTTGATGAGAACATTTTTCTTACAGGGTTAGATGTCTTCCATTGCACTTCTACTCCTTTGAAAGTCTTGAAAGTGCTCACATTCACAGCAATATGTTACATCAAAACCTGAGCAGTTAGCTTTATTTTTAGAGTTGCTTTTTAAGGTAATGAATTTTGTAGCTTGCTTAGGGCAGGTCATATAAATCTAATTACATTTAAGGCTTCCTAATGTGATAATCACTCTTGCTAAATTTATGACTTGGCAATCTTAGGCATCACAGTAGCTGGCCACTATGCCATTTTTTGTGAGAGGGTTAAAAATCAGTGAGTATTAGAGAGTAGATGAATCTCCTTGAATTAATATGTAGTTCTTCAGCAATACTTGAATGACCATCCAGGATAGTATCAAATGATTATGCCAAGCAGTATTTGAAGAACTGATTGATTTTTATTTTTTTTTTTGCCACTGTATCTAAAATGCTTAATTAACTACCACTGTTCAAAACCTGTGATGAGAGGTTTCTTGAGGTTGGTTGTAACATATGTCTGCTTGCAGCCTTCCAAGGAAATAATGATGACTCACTGTCAGGAGCAAGGCAGCTGAGCAGATACCGATAGAATGGCAGCTGAGAAGTTCAGGCTAGGCAGGGGGAGGGAGAAGAAAAATTTTATGGCGTCTGTGGCAGGAAGAGATTATGATTGGAAGGAAGTGGAAAATCTGACCGGTTTGCCAGTGTGAGTCTCTTGTGCCTTGTGTGTTTGCTGTCTCCTTGTGGCCACTGTCATGCAGAATTCTTGGCTGTGTCTTTTGCTCCCAGCCCTCCTACACCTTCTTGCTCTCTTAGAGATGGCACACAGTGCCTCTTCCTGAGGCTTGCATCCAATCTAGGTAGCAGGTGTCAGGCCCTTCTCTGTTACAGAAATCCTTGTTGTGGGTTATTGTGGGGTTTTTTGGTCATAGATTTTCAGAGAGTGGTGAAAACAATGAAAATTTAGTTTTTCTTGATTGTACACATGTCAAAGAGCCTGCCACAGATACTGTCACAGTAGCAGGTTTTCTGAGTACTTGTCTTTACAGAATTTCTCTCTTCTGTGGAGTAGTCTGCGTCTTGGTTGACCACTTTTGTCCATAGCAGAGTAAGTTGTTTGTCCTTTGTGTACAAAGGGCTTCTGAAGTGAGGCTACTATATAGAAGTTTTTTTTAATTGTAGCATGTTTTAGCTAATAAATTTTGAATCACAGTTGTGGTACTGGAATCTACAATGCTCTAAAATAAAATGCTTCAGCCTTATAAAGTGGAGAGACATGATGCTGTCTAATCATGATAGCAGCAACATACATGTTTATGTATGTTCATGTAGTGTGTTCGTGTAGAGAGCACCATATAATTGATTAGTGTTCAAAGTTGAGTAAATATGGAATTTTGATTTTACATAATTTTTTTTTTTGTTACCTTCTGCAAAATTTGCCAAATACGTGTAGTTGGGCATTCTCTTCTGTACTTTCAACAAGTAATCTAGGGAAGAAAATATTCATAATCTGGTTGTTTGGATGTTGTTCTGATAGGTGTGCAGACATGTTTAGCTGGAAGGACAAAAAACCAACTTTAATCAAAGTCTACTGCCAGCAGCCATCTTTTTTTTCAGCTTAATTTTGTTCTGCTGGACCAGAACGAGAAGTCTGTTTATCTGTGCTGTTGCTCTAGTCCTACTTTCAAGACTTTCTTCTGCCCTTTATTAATGAACAGCTAAGATAGAAAACTGTGATATGGGGACTGTGATTTTACTTTTGCCCACTACCTTCCTAAAAAGGAATGGCTTAAGAACTCCAAATATTAATTATGGACAGTGAATGACACCTTTTCCCAGTTGTCTACCAATAAGTCTCTAGATAAATTGGCATCCTAAATTAGCCTGAAAACTCTTCATGAGCACATAAAGCAATTTATGGACATATACAGACACATAAATCTTGTTGATATACATTAGACACTAGAAAATCCTCCCCTCCACAAAACCTCTTGTGTAGTATCTTGTTTCGGAAAGGTATTTGCCTTTGTGGGAACTGCATAGAGCAAATGCACTTTGATCCCAAAAACTGTTTATAGTTTTGATTTCAAGAGGTATCTGGGATGCAGAACAGCAGTGATAGATAAGCTGGTATGTGTCTGAATTGATAAGGCCAAAATCTATATGTTGGCTAACCAGAGTGAGGGACAGAGCTAATAAATAAAGGTCTACTAAAAGTTCTATTTTTTTTTTAAGCTGGTATCTCAAGTAAGATATCTATGAAATATATTTTTTTAAATGGAAACATAACACTTCTGTCCAATGTGTCACTGTATTTTGCCTTTAATTGAAACTGCATTTAATGCAGTTTTTCTGAAGAAGTCCCAAGTCTTTGTGTATAAGTATTGTCATTATGTTAATGGCTCAGTCACCAACATTAACTCTGTGAGGAAGGAGATAAAGGCAGAAGAAAACTGTTCCCTTTCTCAGCCTGCAGAATCTGAAGCCCCCTGCAGGTATATATATCTAGTCCCAACCTATCCACTGCATTCCTTCTGCCTCTTCAGCTTGTGTCTCCAAATATGACACTTTACAGTAGCCCAAACAGCATATAAAAAAGCAGTCCAGCAGAAGAATCTGGGTGAGTGCAACCTCTGGAGATATTTAAAAACCATCTTCCTTACTTTTAAGAGACTAAGAGACGCCTCTTCCAAGAGGACGATGCGAGTTCAGCTGCTTAGGTTTATTGCTACTAACTCAAGTGTCATGATGGAGCATGGACATGCTGTTTGTGTTGGCAGGAGTAATGGCTGCATACCACAGGGCTCTTTGTGTGGAGTCCTAGCAAAAATAGCTGTCTGTCAGCCTGTGTTTGCCAGCATCGCATGTGTTGAATTCTCCACAGAACTGCACTCCAGCATGAGCAGAGGTGGAGGAAGATGGACCCAGTTTCTGACCTGGGAGGTGGAGGTCTTGCTGGCTGTGAAAGGAGCAACTGCAGCACTGCGGGGATTTTGGTTTTCAAACTCATCCATGCAGCCTTTTATTTTGCAGGGCCTACAAGTGATGGTGGTGTGTTCTGATATGGCCCTTGGGCTGTAAATCCTTTTAGCCTGAGGAAAAGGAGAAATATTAACAGATGACTGTGCATGCAGCCAGTTGCCTTTATAATACATGCTTAACTGTGAGCCAAGGAATGCCAGGCACTTTAAAAAGTAAGAAGGGCAGATTACATGGAAAGTTTAACAACAATGCTGTGCCAAAATGCTCTTGCAAGTTTGATTAAAATAAATGTGTAAGAATCAAAACCAGCCGCACAGAGAAAAATTGTAAGCAGGAAGACTCTTTTTCAGTGTTTGTAATATTGAACCTCTATTTTTAAGTGTATCCTTAAAAGATCTGTGTAATAGATTTGTTTCTTCTTGGAGTCCATATCTAATCGTATATTAAACTTTAATATTAAAAAAAAAATCCCTGTAATTCATTTAGTCTTCTCACTTCTTATTTAGCAGTCTTGCATTTCAAGTATTATTTGTGTAGTTTTTTTCTTTCACCTGCTTTCAGTTTTCAGGACCCTTCCAGTAGTGCAGGTGTCCACAACTGAACTCAGGATTTCTTAGGCATTTGCCAGGGTTGTGTGCTGCAATTCTTTTCTCTCCAAATTGTGTAATGTTCCATCACTGTATATCCACAGCAACATTTCATTTCCCCCCACTCCTCCCATACAATGCATCAAACTCATGTTTGATTTACTGCACACTTTATTTTCAAGTTTTATCAATTATATGTGCTTATATTTTACTCTTTTGGCAATTAGGAGCTATTTAAATAGAGTCTTCTTCCTAACTGATTAAAATATCTGGGTTGGGTTTTTTTTTGAAGGAAAGGTCGTGAGGGTACAAAAACCAAATTGTTTGCCTTGCAATGTTTTAAAAAAACACCTTCTTTTCATTTACAGTTGCTCTGTTTTGCTTATGTAGTTAGTGGAATGATTCATGTGGCAAACCATGAAGGCATTGAAAACATTAATGAAGACTAAGCACGTATACATAAAAAGAACTTGAAAACGTTTAGAACGTGAAAAGGTTAGGTTTGCTGATCTAGTAAAATACATTCTGTTCTCTTGAATGCATTTCATGTAATTTCCTCCTAACAGCTTTGTGCACTTCTCCCCCATTCTAAATAGGAGAAGAACATTACAATTGCATCTCTGCCCTGCACAAGTCTATGAGAGGCTCAGATGAAAATGCTTCCCTTTACTGGCTTGCTCGAATGCTTGAAGGTGGTGAGGATCCGCTTTATGTGGCAAGGAGGCTGGTGAGGTTTGCAAGTGAAGATATAGGTCAGTATTTGCAATATTTCATGTTGGAATATTATGTTGAATGAAGATCTGCCAAGCTTCTGGTTTCTAAAAATTGGTTTTTGAGGAAAAAAGAAACCCAATACTGCTATATGCAAAATAGGTACAAAATACTGAAATGCCCCACATTCAACAAAAAGCTTTGTATATGCAGGCAGAGACCTACATGCAGTGTCAGGTGTCATTGTGATGATTACCTGCTGCAGAAGAAACATGTTTTTGAGGTCAGGTTTGCCAGTGTATTAATATAGATTCTTTTAAACTCTGGTGGTTGTAGATCTCCAGTAACCTTGTGCCACAGAGAGTATATTTCAGGGATGTCTGATCTTTTAATGAGTCTGGCTGGTGAATGCCTACCCTGACTTACAAACCTCACATCTGATAGCTGGCTCCCTAGTTGTAAGGCATCTTGCTTGACTTACCCAAAGTAGAAGGTGCAGCAACGCTTCTGCAACATGTATGATGGGTGAAGAGTTAGGAGATCTGGGGAAGCTATGTCTATATAGCAGTACTTTCCCATTTCTTTATCAATTCTGAAAGGTGAGAGATTCATATCTGGTCAGCTACTGCTCAGGCCACCACTGTGTGGCAGCAGATTCAATCCGTAAATTGTACCCATGACTTAGACCTTTCTTTTTGGGGAGGTGGGACAGAAGGGAGAAGGCTTATGGATGGAGGGAGTATATATTATGTCTGCTATGATATTGTACCAGAAATTCCAGCATCTGAGAAAGCAGCTTTGAAATTCGCATGGATATCTCGCAGGAGAGGAAAAATTAAAATTGAAAAAAAAAAAAGAGACGTAAACTTTAGCCTGCTTTTATCTGATCCCTTTTTGTAGGACTGGCAGATCCTCTGGCTTTAACACAAGCAGTTGCTGCTTATCAAGGCTGTCACTTTATTGGAATGCCAGAATGTGAGGTAAAGACTTCATTAATTCACTGATTTGAAAGTACTGCAAGCTGTAAAACCTGTCTGTAACTATAAAACGTAACAGATTGCAAGGACACGGCAAACTTAGTTACTTGTTCATTCAGCATGCCCCTTCTTTGACAGGAGAACATTGTAGCTCTTAAAATATGTGTTGTAGTTTAAAATAAAATTCACTGTGTATTTATTGTCAAAATATGATATGTGAACTTATATCATTTTGCTCTGTCCATTTTTTTCTCTCTCTTATAAGTAAAATAATATATTCCGAAGTAGTTATTATTTTCTAGTAGTGAAAATCAAGAAGCTGTGTTGTTTTTAAATAATAGTATTCATATTATAGAGTAGCAGGTAGAGGTCATTTTAAAAACATATCCCCTGCCATGCTATACAAACAACCTGAATAGCAGACCTTTTCCTAAGAGTCCAAAAGAAGTGATTTTTCATTTTACCTTTTCTTGTTTCCAGGTGATTCTAGCACAGTGTGTAGTGTACTTTGCCAGAGCACCAAAGTCTATAGAGGTGTACAGGGCATATGGCAATGTCAAAGAATGTCTGAGGATGCACACGGGACCTCTGCCACCTGTTCCGCTGCACCTGAGAAATGCCCCAACAAGGCTCATGAAGAACCTGGGCTATGGCAAAGGCTACAAATATAACCCCATGTACAAGGAACCTGTAGAGCAGGACTATCTACCAGAAGAGTTGAAAGGAAAAGACTTCTTTAAGGAACAAAAAACGTGATGGCTGTGCTTGGAATGAGTTTTGATTCTATTACTCATACATTTCTACTGGGAGAGAAATTCCCCTAACAGTGTCAGATGTCTTTTACTGTGGTTGAAAGGATTAAGCCAATGAACCTTTCAGATACTTCTTTATCCTTCTGGTTTTACTGCTGTTATTCTGAAGGTATTTTGTAAAGAGTTGCAGTTAGGCAATGTAGAAATACAAACATGACCTTTAACCTTATAGTGCTGTCACTCTGTGGTTCACATGGAGCAAAAATGAGAGACTTGTATTTCTGGCTCTTGCTGTGAGACAAGGAATATTACTGTGCTGCTTTTTAAAATCAGTATCGATTTCAGATTTTGAGAATGTTTATTTTCCAAAAAAATAGTAATATGTACCTTTGCTAAAATACTGTAAACAAAATATAATTGCAAAGTAATTCTTCCTCTTATGATATTCCAGAGACAAATTTTGTACAACCAATAAAGCTGTTAAAAATAGTGTCTATGCGTTTGTTTAAATACTCTTGTAACAGCAGTGTAGTATTGAAAGTTTGATATCCCTTTAATTTTATTATCCCTACTTTCCAGAGCAAGTTTAATTCATTTTGTAAGTAGAATAGTCATAAAAATAGCCAAATGATGTTAATTTTTGAAGTTTTATCACTTAAAATTTTAATTGTATGGTGACATTTTGGGAGAGTTTTTTTTTGGAGGAGATTCCTGGTAGTGAAACACGTTTGTCTGTTTCCAGTTGTGCATCAAGAATTTCATTAGCTTTAAATTGGAAAGCTGAGAGACACAAATTGACTTAGTGCTGTTATAATACAGAGTTTGGATTCCTCTTCCTACTGAAAACATAACAACATCCAAGATTGCTGTTGACTGAACATTTCAGTAATGTTGTTATTACTGATGTCAACAACATTCTTTCATTTAAGTGCTGATTATTTTTCTTCTCCTCAATCCTTAGGTGTGCAGTGGCTCAGTGTGCTGAAAAGACAGCAAGGGCTAAAACCACATATGACTGTGCTAACTTTCAGTTGGGTAGGAGAGAAGGACTGTGTTTTGTTAGAATTGCATCAGATAATTAGCAAAGAAGGTTTTAATTACTGAAATGCTGAGCAGCCACTGGGGCAACTGTCCACACTTGTCAAAGTACCACGGAGTTAACTGGCCCCCACTGATGAGGATGTACGTCTGGGTTAAAAATTACCACCACCACCATAGTGCTGTGTAATTGCAGCTGGATTTGCTTGGTAACTACTCAGAGTTTGCTTGCTACCTGCCCCGCATACCTTTGTTACTGGGTCTGTGCTGATTACTGGTGGATTTCAGGAATTCCTGCCCTGATCCTGCTTAGTTTGGGAAATGTGGTAAGGTCAAAATTTACAATGCTTTATGTATAGCTTCCAGTCTTTTGCTGTTCAGCTACAAATGCCATGTGTCTCCTAAAAGGTGACTTCCTTGAGAGTAGTCAGAAGGTTGCTAACTCTTCTCCAGAAGGACTATGTACCATAGATATTATTATAATTACTGAATCATTTGGCTTTTTGTGATGTGTTACATTTGCTGAACAATGACTGGTGCTTCATTTCACGTTTACAGTATTGCATTTAACAGTTTTTGAAAACTTCTATTCATCCACTCAATTCAATTTGTAAATAAATGTTTCATTCTTTGATGAAGGAAGCCTGGTTTGTATTTGAGCAATACTGAGCTTTTTGCGCCTCTCTCCAGCTATGATACCACCCAACCACCTGCAGGTCAGCTGCCTGGAATACACAAATTGCAGGTGGGTATTTCTTGACAGCAGAGGTATTTGGTGCTGTGTGGAGCTTAGATCAGAGGGATTGCCGCAGCCACACATCTGGAGTTCATTCAGAGCAACTTTAGCAAACCAGGAGGTCTGTGGTCTGAGGATGCAGTGCCAAGTCCAGAAGCCAGCTTTATTCAGCTTCCTCCTCTTACATTTCAAGACAGATTGCTGGCCCTTGGCTATGATCAAAAGTTTTCAATATGCAACTGCAAAACTTTGTGATTAGTATTGGAGATTAATTTTGTTGTGAGACTCCCTTCATATGAAGTTCTGCGTGACAAAAGTGTAGGACTTAAGCCAAAGATCACGGTGTAACTGAAATGTTTCAGAAATTAAATCTGTTGCAGGACTGTATGCTGTTAAAGGATTTGAGTCAGATTCTTTAAACATTCCTATGTTCCCCTTACTCAAATAAGTATAGTTTTTGAATGCTTTGAGCAAACTCTGTTTCTAAAGCAAGTCTTTTGACAAGCTTCATTTATGTAAGTTTGCATTATTTTCTTTTTAATACAATTCACTTTGTTGTAGTTTGGGTGGAACTTTCTTGTTGATTAAATTAATGGGGTAATAATTAGATTAGTATTTTTATCCTACTGGTCCTGTGAAATGCACACGGAGGAATAAGGCAAGGTGCAGTCTCTTCCAGTGCTGGAGTAAATCTAAGCATCGTATGCTTGCCTTCAGGGGGCAGCACAGGTTGGCAAAAGGTTCAGAGGGTTTTTCACTCCTCAGCCTCCAGTGAAGGCAAAAAGGTCATGCCCCTCAGGTCAGATCCATCAGACAGTGACGTCTAATAGGCTATAAAATGTTGGCAACAACAAGTTTAAGTTTCAAAGCTGTCGTGCCTCATGGCCACTTTCCAAGGAAAGTGTTATTTACCTTTTCTCTTCCTCCCTATTCTAATTAACAAGGTGTGCTATACTGGAAACAGAGTGGCTGCTTCCTATTCTCTCCCTGCCACTGAAGTGCATCTTTATATTCCCTCTAAAGAGAGTCATTTCCACTGTTTGAAGAACTCCACGCTGCATTAAAAAGTCCATCAGGATCAGATGCACTCACAAATGGACACTTCACCCTGCACCATTTCCTGTCCCTCCAAAATAGACCCAAGGCAAAACCATCTATTTCTTCTCAGGATGGTGTATGCTGTGTTCACATAGGATTGGCAATGCTGCTTTCAACAAGCGGAACCCAATCTCCTTGTGAAACTGCTTCAAAAGCACAAAATGAAAGAATGAAATTAAAAAATCATTAAGCACATTTTGTTGTTTTCTGGCTCTTGAGTATCTGGTGCTTACCTTTTGAAGGTCAGTGAAGGGCAAGAATGGTTAAGAACGGTGGTATGGTGGTGTATTTATTTATCTTTAGAGTGTAGAGCTTTAAGGAAATACCAAATATTGCAGTGTCACTAGAAAATCTGGGATGAGATTTGGATCCCATCAGGTAACAATTGCTTCCACTGTAAGAAGCACCATCAAAGTCCATCATACCATGATCTCTTTTTCTCTCATATAAATTGTCCCAATAAAAAATAATGCAAGCCATGAGAAAGGCCATGCTGTAGCCTGTGTTGGGGAATTCAGTACACATGAGAAACAACTTGTCCTGCTGTAAGCTGTTTCTCCCAGTAGCAACATGCCAATGTCAATGATATGGATAGCCAGACCAGAAATATCAATTAAATAATTCCCCCAATGAGTTCCCCCGCAGTTTTTTTAGAAAATTATCTAATGAATATTTTTTCCATTATTTAGCTTGTTTGACTCTCACAGATAAAAAGTTGGATGATACAGCTGCTAAGGAGTTGTCCGGACTTTTATGCTAAATATTTATGCGAAATCATTACTTGTATTTTAGTCTTTTTGTCCTGTTTTCCTTGCACAAAGAGTTTAAACCCTCAGTTAATCTCTGGACTGCATTTTCTTCCTTTTCTGTGAGTGTTTTCTCTTGTGTTGAGAGAAATGTTCTTGGCCAAAATGACTATCATTTTCCGTGAAATGTCTTAAAAATAAAAGCATTTATACAAGCTGGTTGTTTGAAGTTCTATTTATCCTGAAGATACAACATTTTCTGGCCACTGCACATGTTTAGCATGTTTCCAGAAAGGCTGCACTCACTTTCCAGGATTTTGTCTGTGGTTTTTGTCTTTCATTGTTACTAAGTAGTCGGGGATTGTGTAGGCCACTTAATGAATATGGATAAGAATATGCTTTCAGCTGGTACCATAAGAGATGACATGATAGAACTAGAGGTTCATTACAATTGAAAACAAAAACAAAAACAAAAACAAAAACAAACAAAACAAAAAAAAACACAAACTAACAAAAGCCAGGTTCTGATTTTAATTGTACATTTTTGTCTCAGTAGGTTCAAGTGAACTGCACTGGTCTAATGAACCACAATTAAAAAAAGCAAGAAAAACATCCATCTCTAACACTTGGTCAGGTTTATGTACTTCACCAGGATTTTGGTCATATATAGATAGATGCAAACATTTAAGAGTGAAGGTCTTAACTCATCTGAGTAAATTTATTTCAAGTATAAGGTGACATAAAACCCAGAGATAACTCTTCTCCTTATCCACATTATGTTTTTTACTTTCTAGAATGAGCAACTTAAACTGTATGAATCACAAAAAGCAGCCAAATTATGGTGCTGGTGAGTGGTGGTTTTTCTTTTTAAATTACCAAAATCAAAGGGCTTTCCTAAGGCACCTATGTAAGCAGTAGTACAAAGTCTGGCTTACTCATCATAGCACAGTGAGCAAATATTGCTCAGAGTTTTGGACTGTTATAAAGCCTGATCTTCTTAGGAAAGGCCAAAATTGAGACTGAAGTCCAGCTGCTGTAATCTTCTCTTCCACTCAAAGAAACTCCCATGTTGTCTTCTCAAAACAGCAGCCAGTTGCAAAATGGTTTTGGACAGGGAAGTTCTTGTTCAAGTACTTACTGGTCCCCTCCTAGGAAATTTAACTGCAGTGAGCTAAGTTTTTAATGTTGGAGTCCCCCAGGTTAATATAAACCAAATATTTTATGTGTGTAATGTATTTTTTTATACTGTGGGTGTGGATTTATGACTGCTACTTCACTAAGACTAAGGCTAAGCTCCTGGTTTCATAATGAGACTTCTGATGTCACAGTTGCTCATCTTATAGGTGGTATCTTTAACTCATTAAAATTACATTTTCTACTTTTTTCCTCTGTTAAATCATCTCATACTGAAGATAACCATGCTTTGAACTCAGCGAGACCTGTGTTCATTCAGTAGATCTAGAAACAAAATCCTCCTCAAAAGCTAGTTGAAGCAGGATATTATTTTTTAGAAATGTGAATAAAGTTGGCATGCCAGTTTTCTCTATAGGAGTCAGCCCTTGTCAGTCACTTGTTCTTACAGGAGCACAGGAAAAAAACGAACACCTTATTGTGGGACACGAATTATGGGAGGGGAGTATTGGCTGGGCTTTTGTAAATGCTTGAATGTGAAGCTGATTCTATTGAGATTCTTATTGCTGGATTTTATTTTGCGCACATAGTCTAGAAAACCAAATTTATCTCTGTAATACTTCAGTTACTGAATACTGAGACCAAAGCAATAAATACAGACATCAGTCTCCTCATAAAGCTACACTGATTTGTACAATTATGCAAGGTTTTATCTTTCTTCTGATCTGGTAATTGCT